GTTCAGAGCATGGGTAATGCTTAAACGCAAACTTTCTTATTTCTACAGTGGTAGTGCAGGTGACAATTTGGGTGGACGGAAGATCCAAGGTTCAAGGTAAAGACACCGATGCTTTTTCCGAGAAACAAGAACAACATACCCCGCTGCAGAGGTACAACAATTATTGGCGCATTGCAGAAGGTCCAATTTCCACTTGTCCTTGGCGCTGATGCAAATGCCCACCACGTGGAGTGGAGAAGCTCCGACACCAACAGAAGGGCGAGTCTTTATAAATTAAGTGAAGATTTGTGCATAAATAATGTGGGATATAGTCCAACATTTGTCACCAGAGTACGACAGGAGGTCCTTGATCTGAACCTCAGCAGCAGTGTGGGTAACGATCTGATAGAAAATGGAGGGTTTCCACGGAGCCTTGTATTCCTGATCATAAAATTATCCAATTTTTGCTGAAAGAGGAGGTCAAGGTAAAAACTCCGAGAGGCAACCCTAGAAGGAAGGAATATGCAGCTAATTTAACGAACTAGAGCAAGGAGATTAGGAAGGCGAAGAGCGATAGTTTCAGAAACTTCTGCGAAGGTATCTCGTATACTCCAGCAGCTGCGAGGCTATATAAGGTTCCGGCCAGAGGAACGGTGGCAACGGAACCAGCGATAAGTGCAGTGACAGAAACTACACCGCAAGTAAAGAAGAGAGGACAAACGCTCTCCTTGCGGCACATTCCCGGAGGCCACTAACTTAGTACTGCAGCCGGAAGCTGTCTAGACTAGGCCGATACCATCTGACTAGAAACTGGCAAGAAGTACCGGAATTCAGTCGAATGGATGCTGGGCTCGTTTTAGCGCTACATGTTACAGCCGAGTGGTGAGAATTTAATACCGCACCTAGTGGACATAATGAGAAGCAGCCTTGCGGGAGCTTACTTTCATTCCACAGAAGTGGCGGAGAGCGTAAGTAATATTGCTATGTGCCTTTTTCGATACAGAAGGAGCGTTTTGACAATATGTCCCACCATACATACATATCTTACTGATAATTGGGGCTGATTTACCAAATTTTGGGCGAGCACGCTAAAATCAGACAAATGTTCGGTGAAAGCGCGTGAAATAGACCCACGCTTTTTTGGTGATTAAAAAAGGATATATTGGATGTCTGGCAATTAATCGAGTATCACAATTAAGTGTCTATAAATAGTCACTAGAAATGATTAGCAACTTTTTTACCAAATTTTCGTTAACATTAATGAAATTGTAACAGTAGCTAATAACAAAATATGTACATACTTTTGTACATATGTATGTTTGTACATTAGACCGTACCACAAGCTAAATAACTTTTTTTTTGCCCGAACTTTGTGCATTTTTTGCCATATCTTCGATATATACACTCTGAAAATTGCATGTAAAACTACTACTGGAAAGTGTTTATTTTTCAACCAAAATCTGTATATAATATATACACACACGATGTTCAAGATTTGATTTTGAACATGAGATGTTTAAAATATACACATGAAATGTTTAAATTTTTTACTGAAGATAAACATTAAGTGCTCATATTTACTCAATTTTAACCATTTTATATGTAATTTTGCTCTACGCGACAAATTTGGTATGTAAAAGTAAACAGCACAATTTTTCTTTTCGAAATTGCTTCGGACGGTCTTTACACCTGAACGGAGTTGACTGCCATCAAGTTGTACGTCGTGTTCACACGCAACTTCAAGAACGCATGGAATGGAACATAATTCGGAAAATTTACAGCGAAACGAACAAGTGTATGTATGTAGGTATTACTTGCACCGCAAAAAAAATTTAAATAAATAAAAGTGTTAATAAATTTTCGCTACACACGGTAAAGTCCAAACAGATGCCACAAAAGAAAAAATAATTGACCAATTTCTCATCTTCGAGACGCTTCGGAATCGAAACATTCATCTTTGCGCCGATTTTTATTTTCTAAATCGGAATTTCGGCGCAAATTTGTTTTCATTTACTCACAAGTTACTTTTCATCCACTCTCTGCCAGATATTCGTTCAACTCCGCACAGGTGTAAAGAACGTCTTGCAAAAATACCTTAGAATCAGCGGTGTACATGGAACTTTTTTTGTTTGCTTTGAAGATAGTATGGTCTAATGTACATATATATAAATGTATATGTATCTTGACAATATCTATACATGGCTAGGTATCAAGTATTTATTACAAGCATATGGGTAAATCTCCGGAACCGTGCGATTCAACGTTAAAAAAAAAAACTAAAAATTTTAAATTGAATGCACACAAATAAATTATACATCAAATTGTTTGAAATCCATTGAGGAAACAATAAATTCTTGTGTGATTATTTTGCTCAAATGATTAAAGAGTTATAAGTAAAAGACGATAACTCTCGAAAGCTCAAAGTTATCGATATTTCTAGAGGGCGTGGTTTTTGCTTAAGATTCATTGTAAATATCTTTTTTGAGTAAATATTTAAAAATTCAAACAAAAGGTACCCAAAGTGACAATAAAATAAAAAAAATTAAGTTAATTAAGTTAGGTACAAGAACTCGTCAAATTTGTTATCAAAATGGGTAAAGTTTTTTATTTATAAAAAGTAAAATAACATTAATAAAATTAATTGAAAGGTGAGTGACACAAAAGCACACGATTCCGGAGATTCGCCCATATATACATACCTATCTACATACATACATTCCAATTAAAAAA